ACATATATATACATGTGTATATATATATATATGTATGTACATATACATACATACATACATACATACATACATACATACATACATACAGATATCTGTATATATATGTATGTATCGAGTCTTTTATGTAAATCTAACACCCTGAAAGTAGCATTTGCAACCCTTGTAGTGCTACCCCGTCATGAGTATAGTAACCCACCGATGAAGGGGGTTTAGTCGCTTTGGCACTGTTGACCTGCGCGGGTTGAACTCAATGACAAAGTTGCGTTTGAGGCCTGGATCCCGAGCCTCCACACCCAAAACACCAAGAGCCTAAACGCTGAACGCGAAAGCTGCATGCATCGGCTGGATTGTCCGAGTTGTGAGCCCTTAGGCCCTTAGCCGCTAGCCCCAAACACCAAAAGCCTGCTTCTTGTCGATTCTGCTCTGAGGCTGTCCTTGAGGAAGTCACTGGACAGCTACGCAGTCAACTCCCCAGTTTCCTTCGTAGGGAAGCAGCCGGAATAGCATGTACTACATGCCACATATGCATGTATATAATTACGTACCTCCTTACATATGTATGCACGTAGAATTTAACCCAGCATACTTAACATAATGAAATGCAATATAACAAAAAAGATAACATGAAATAGAACAACAAAACCCAACATAATATCATATCCTACTGTATACTGTATACTATATGCTATATTCTATACTATGTAGTGTATACTTCATGTTATACTTCTACACTATATAGTACATACTTACGTACTGGTATGCTTGTATGCCGGTATACCAGTATACCTGTATGCAACAGACTGTATAATACATACGATATACTATATATATATATATTACTATATACTATATTTCTACAGACTATATACTGTATACTAGACTATACTAGACTACAGTATAGTGTTCATATTAGAGTATAGGAGAACATAACAAAAGATAAGATAGTATAATGTATTACTATGATATGATGTCGTATAATATAAGACCTGATAATCTAAGATAATACAAGGTAAGATACGGTCTTTTACATTAATACAAGATGAACAATAGATATGCGTGTTTAGGTGTACGTGTAGGTATGTGTGGATGAATACATGTATGTATTTGTTTATCTGCACATGTGTTTGTAGATAATAGTTTTCATCTATGTGTTTATCTGTTTCTTTATGCATTTATGTACGGATTCTTTTCTGTATATATCTGTTCATGTGTATTCATGCATGTATTTAGTTGGTTGTATGTGTTCATATCTACAAGCAATAACAGGAGTCACCAGCAACTTGGTGGAGCTAGTAGGGTTTGTATTAGTATGGTAGCTAGAAGCGTATGCACACAGCGCTGGTTTGCCGAAGCGAAGGTTCTTCAGAATGCGAAGCCTGCTGAAGTGCCTGCGGATGCCAAAGGCACGGAGGACACCAACTAGTCTGAGCTACCGCGCAAAGGCAGACGACATTGAGTAAATCTAGTGCCTGCTGCCATCAGAAAGCCGTCAGGAAAACCAACCAGATGGTTTGTAAAGCACGAACACTTTCTGCGCAGGACGCCAGTCCAGCCAAACCGCAGCCAGCCGGTGCGGACTCGCCGTTCTCTACTAGTTCAAGGCCTCAGCTTGGAGTCTGCCAAGACCGCCCGCAGACATGCTTCGACCACGCTGTACCCTGTCCAGTCCTTCCAAACAGGGCAGCATGTAGCCCTCTATACTAGAGCAAACATGACAGGCGAGAAGCCAGAGAGTAGGGAGACCAAGATCAGACAACTGAATCTGAAGTTCTTGCTCACGCGCATCATTCCGATTTTCATCTCGGTCTCCCTTCTGCAGCTCAACCGCATGTTCTAGCTTTCTAACTTTATCGTATTCGCAGCACTGCTTGAAGCACTGGCTTGTATGAGGTTCTCTCCACCGAGCAGAAAGAGCAAGCCTCGGCCTCAAAGGCGCAGGCTGCTTCTGTCAAATTGTCATTCAAGCGGCAAGAATGGGAGATGCACATGGCACCGAAGTCTCCTTGGCCTTTGCTAGGGAGCACTGCAGACTGTGCTCTCGTCAAGTTGAGGTTTCGGTCTTCCGGGCCGGGCATGCCCACATCCACAGAGCACGAGGCAAGGATCTAGAGCGAAGAACCCGCAAAGCCGTTTTGCGAAATCATCGCAGTGTTGCGACGCTGGCAGGATCTTCGCTTTTGCCTCCAGAGACGAGCTGTGCGCCTCAAGGTGAGGAGGGCGAGCTTGGAGCTGTCGTTTCCCATTGGTGGTACAGTCCGGGGCCCCGTCTGTAGCGGCTTTTTTGCTGGGGCATCCTACTATTTGGTTTGAACTACCGTACTCAATCAATCTTCTGCCAAATCCACGCAACTAAACCACGAGGTCGGCTTACCTTGCAGCAGCTGCGGAGTATTTAGGTGCTTAACTAGGCCAACACAAATGTATGACAGAGATCGCAATGTTTAGTGGCAGAGGCGGCAGTAAGAGGAGCAGACCTTCGTCGTCGTTCACGTCGCCACCATCAGCAGCATCAGCAGCGGCTGTCGTTGTCACAGTAGTAGGAGGGTTTGTGTATCATTGAAAAAGTTTGCTAGTTGCATAAAAGTTACATCCGTTCGTTTGCAATGAGCTCTCAGCCGAAGTTCTCAGCTTTGTCGTCGTCGTTTTCTTTCTTCTTTCTGTGCCATCAATTTTATCGTCCTGCCACATCAAGAAGCTGCCGCTGCTACCGAAGTGGTTTGGGGCCAGGGCGAAATCGACACCTGCGAAGAAGAAGTCCAGACACTTCGGTCAATTCCTCGGAGAGCCCTTCTGCGCTTTTGGAAGAGGCACCACTAGCACCCGAACACTTCTAAATGGGTAGTTCTCTAAATTGGGGTCCCTGTCTAGGTCCCCAATATAGTACGGCACCCTTATAAAAAGGACCCTAGAAGGGACCCTAATTTAGAGAAGTACCCAAATTCATTGTAATTGTCACAGGACCGCCTGCTCGTGCTCAGGCACCGCCTCTCGAGAGCACACAGCGCCTTGCAGAGCAAGGCCGGTCAAAAACTTCAATATTATATATATATACACACAATATTATTATTATTATTATTATATAGTATATTATAATATATATATATATATTATTTCTTGGGGTTGCCCTCAACCACGAAATGGGTCTGGCATGGTTCGGTCTAGAGACCCGAAAGCAGAAGGGTTGGGCCTGAGCGTGGCTGTTGAAACAGGACCAAGTCGTTCGAAGACGAGCTAAGTAGCCCAGTTTGCCGACAGATGATGCTCCAGTGAGCGAGTGGGTTGCAGCTCACTGCACGCGGTGTGGGACTGTCGTGCCGTTGTCGTCACACTACTCAAGGACGGATCCGCAAGCATGATCTGTCCCCCAGGTCAAACGGGCAGGCTTGGCAACAACACGGGCAGAAGAGCAAGACAGCGTGTCGTCAACACATGATGGTGCATGCTTCTGCTGCATATGCACAAGAAGGTTTCCACCCCCAGAAAGCCCCCTCGCAGCAGCATAGGGATTGGACAGGTTCAGTGCACCCGGAAACTGATTCATGCTCCACCGCAACATCCCACAACTGCCTCCAACAAGGAGGGGCGAACTCAAACCATGCTCCTGCAAATGGGTTGAGTTGAGGGTGAAACTGCGAGCTTTGGCAAAGATCCACTCCTAGAGCTTCGCATGTTAGACTCTGTTAGACCACGGCGGGGCAACACAGGACGATAAACATCGGCATTTGGCATGTTGGACCGGGTAGGAGAGATTTTTTTTGAGCCTTGGCCAGGAGCAGCGGCGAGTGCACTGGGAGACTCAGGCATGTCGCAAGGAGCTGTGCCGTCCCTTGGATCCCGCGGCTGCACCGTTGCGAATTACTTTCTATCGGCGCAGCACCTCTTTCTGTCCGCACTCCTGTATCGAGTCGCGAATATTTGCTTGATCTAGCAAGAAACTGAATCTGAAAGCAGGACTGGGGCGATGTGGATGATGTCGGCCCCGGGGCCGGGCCATGCTTGTTCGCATGGCAGGCGCATTTGCAGCTGGGCCGGATGAAATGAGAAGATACTGAGCAACCTCGGTTTGTTTGCCAGTGAACGCAACGTGCCCGAAATTACCAGAGCGGGCAGGCCTTCCTGGATCGAAGTGCTTCCGAGGCCTGTTTTTTGTTCTTGCTTTGCGTGTTGAGGTTCGGTTTGTGATGCTAATCTGCGCGAGCCCAAGGTTCAGAAGATACGGCGCATACTTCCCAAGGCCCGATCGAAGCCACTGATTGTTGAGCATGCTTATTTCAGGCTTTTCGCCTTGCTAGGTCGCATCAAGGTGCGTGACTGCCGATGCTGTCAGCTGTCAAGCCGTTTTTGTGGAACCGCAAATAACAGCTTGCATTGATTTGCCAGCAACAGGCAAACTACTGTACTTTTTCCAGTGGATACTCCCCGGCTGCGTGCCATGGCCCTGTCACGGATGGCAAACATCCATGCCGTGGCTTTCAGGACCAGTCGACGCCACGACAGAGAGCTTGGCAGTTGCATCCTGCAAGTCCCAGGACGCTTCGCCCTGCGAGGCTAGAAGGCCTGCAAGGCTTGGAAGTGGTTAGGTCGTAATGTTAGCTACGCAGGCTTCTAACCAGCGGAGGCACTCATCCGATCTTGGGACATGCGTGGCACTCCAGTGACTTTTAATGATTCTTCCAAATATGTTCACCTCAAGCCCAAAATTGCCGAAATTATAGACGAACAATGTTGTGGAAGGCAACAGATTCTTTGCCTGCAGCTGCAGACACCTGTTGGGTCTTCCGGAAGGTGGGCAATTATAATTGCAGCTTTCTTCTGCACCACTGCAGGCTGTATATGCAGGTCACAAACCTCATGTTCATGGCCCAAAACGACGTTTGTCATGTGCCTGGGGCTCTTTGGACTCAAAGCGTTCAAAGCGAAGATCAACAAATCCAGAATCCAGTGTCAGAATCACGGAGGTCACAGCCGTGGTGGAGTTCTGAGCTACTCGTAGGGTGTAGAATGTTGCGTGGAAGGTTTGCTAGGCATGCAACGCTTCCATGCTGGGGATCTTAATGAAGCTTCTGAAGGCGAACTGCTCGAGGCAGACATCCGCAAGGGCTACAGGCGACCCACCGATGTTCGATATTGTAGGGACCTTAGTAATTAGAATAGGACCTTAGTAATTAGAATAGGGTTTGGGGGGGTATATGATACTATAATTGTAATAAGGAGCCCCCAAAACCCGTTTCTAATTTTTGAGGTCCTTACATTACTGCTGTTGCTGTTCTTATAATATCTGTCAGTATTGCCAAAAACTTCCCTATTCGGATTAAGGCCATGATTGTTACTGTTCTTCTTGGGGCATGCGACGGTAGAGTTTTGAACTCTGATGCGGCTCGTGCCTGGCAGATGGAAGAAAGCATAACGGAGTTGTCAAAAGTCAAGCAGCTGACAGAGCGTTTACGTCCTCTATGTCGGAATTTTGAAAATCTGACGGGTAAAGGGGCCCCTTACTTTGGCTAAAAATTCGGAGATCCTCACCCCTAAACCCTAAACCACTTAAGAATCTTTTCGTCCCAGGCTTTCCGGAATTCTCAAGTCGTTCCAAGCACCTGCCATAGACTCAAAACCAATCTCTCCTAAATTCGTAACCGGTCTTGGAGGTGTCTCACCTCGCTAGCCCGAAGACACTATACTCTAAACTGTAAACCCTCGCGGCCAGGGCAGCTGCCCGACGTTTGCATCCCGACCGGGGAGGCAAGCGCGAGGAGTTTCAGGACCGTAGTTAGTATTGGCGATTGTGGGGTTTGAATAGATGTAGCTAATCATACGCCCTCTATACATGTACTGGAAAATGATATATCTCGTCACCACATGCTGATTTTTACGCCTCCATATACTAGTAGAGGGAAGCTCTTGGCTTTGAGCTCGCATACAGGAAGCCTGTATGCTTTGGCAGCAGAGGTCCATGGCACTTGCTGCAGCCTTCACGCATAGTATGGTGTTTTGTGCTCTACCGCATGAAGTATAGTATAGTATAGTGCCCAGAGGTTTCGAGCGGTCAGGAGCTGCAGCGGTGCTACGAGTCCGTTCTCGCAGAAGCCACTTGAGCCGACATCCAGCTCATGTCATATGGCCCCGGTCCGAATGCCGGTCGTTTGGGCTCCGTTCAAGGTGGTGATGTTGCGAGCCACTGTCAAGCGGGTCTCCCCCAGTCCACGAATGTTGGGTTCAGGGCGAGTCTGTGGAAGCGGGCTAGGGCCCGAGTTGTTCAGATCCATGTTCTGCCTGCTGAGGTCAGCGCGGCAAAGGATGGAAAGGCAAGGCATGCGTGGCTTGAGCAGATGAAAAAGGACCGGCAAACATACCTGGCATGCAAGAAGATACTCTTACTTTCCAGGGCGATGCGAACATATGCTTGTGTGACGAGTTTTGCAGGACTTCGCAAACTTCAGCTGCTGCTGATCCTGCTCGCTTGATACCTTGTGCCCAAAGCCGGCGAGCGTCCAGCTCGAGAGAAAATTCGTCCCAATCTTGTTGCGCTGTTGTGTGGTGCCCGGACTGTATCCACAGGCCGCCCGAGTTTAACACGCCTTTAGGTCGAGTTTAGGGCGCACGTCCTGCAACGACGACAGCATACCCTAAACCCGACTAGGCGAGATGAAGACCAACCAGCTTAGAAGGTTGCAATGTGGTATGAATTTGTGTTGTTGTGACGGTCTTGAACTCGCAATGGTTTCACTTTGTTAGCGGACCTCGAACCACATGACTCGCCTGGATTGTCCGAGTGTAAGGGGGCCGAAACCCGATTGGAGGTAGCTCATGGGGGTTTGATCTCCCCAGGCACGATGAAAGGCGTCGCATTCCAAGCCATACACTCTACCAGAACTCAGCTCCCCTTAAAAACCTGAAGCCCTACACGAACCAATAGAGATGTCCTGAGCAATTACTAGTACCAGTATTAATAGTGCTTTGGGGTTCCTTTTGTTACTGTTATTGGCAGTATACTATCAATATACTATCAATACCCTCAAAGCCCATATGAATTATTCAGGCCCCTACATGCAGCTAAACCGCCTTCGTATTATAAGGCCCATACATTACGGTGTGTATATAAATATGTACATACATACATATGTATGTATGTATGTATGTATGTATGTATGTATGTATGTATGTATGTATGTATATATATATACACCCTAAACCCTAAACCGTAAACCCTTTTATATACATATATATATATACACACTACAATAGAGCCCTCCCTCCTGGTCCAGGATCCTGGCCGTGAAATCGAGGCCTACGCAGCCCACCGGGCCGAGCTTGGCACTGCTCTCGCCGAGGCCCTGATTTTTGTTTAGGGATGTCTAGGGTTTAGGGGTTTAGGGTTGCTTGCAAAAGTCCTGGATGCAAAAGGGTTTAGGGTTCAGGGATGTTTAGGAGAGAGACCTCGTTCAAAAAAAGGGATGTTTAGGGTTGCACAAGTCCTGATGCAGGATGTTTAGGGATTGATCTTCACATGGAGCAGTGGTTTCATGATTCGTATTGTAGTGATCTTCACGCCTTCCACGACCTTTCGTTTACTCAGTTTTCATTCGTGGTTTTGAGTACAATCATTCCTCACAGCTGGGCTGTCCAACTGCATAGCTTGTCATGAGTACATGTTGTGCGGGGTTGTGCAGTCATGAGTGCTGCACTGCTTCACGGCGACGGCAGTCCTGGGCGAGGGAAGCCTGCTGCAAAAAGGGTTTAGGCTAGAATTGAGTCCAGTCGCAAGAAAGGTTTAGGGCATTGGCGGAGTCTGGATTCAAAAAGGGTTTGGGGCTGGAGGCACTTCAGAGACACCTCGTTCAAAAAGGGTTGATGAGATTTGGGCTGATTCTCCAAACTAGAGGCTTCGTCTAGTTAAGGGATCGGAACCGAAACAAGGCAGAGTCTGCACTCCTGTTTGATGGGTACTTTAAGTTGTGAGTTGAAGGAGGGTTTGGGGATTTCGGCAGGCTGATAAGGATCCACCGTCTTCACCATCATCATAGGATTTTCTGTTGCTCGTGATGATGGCCATGATCACGATGATTGTGGCTGAAGCTGGCAAAGTATCTTACTTTATTTCATTTTGAAGTTGCTGGCCTGCGTTGATGTTGAGCTGCTTGTCGAGCCTACTCCGTCCGGAATTACGGGGTGAACATTGCACTGTCAGACTTGCAAACTTGGTCGCAGCCTTTCAGGCGCAGGAGCAGCTTGAGAGCACGAAGTTGGAGATGGAGCAGGACGAGGCTTTCGGCTCAGGGTTCAGCATTTTGGGGTGTGTAGTGTTGCTGACATCCCGCAGATCCACGGGTACACATCCACCGTTTGCGAGCTGTGACGTGATAGAGCAGTAGTGACTGCTCGATTCTGTGTGAATGAATGGGAATTTGCGGCTGAAAGTGATCAAAAACCGAACTAATCAACAGATCAACTTCGGTTGATACACGATCGGACCATGGGTGTCACTGGATGGTTGTGCTTTTCGTCGGCACTGGCTGCGCTAGTGGCTGGTGCTGAAGCTTGGCTGTCAATTTCAACCCAGAGACCGCGTAGATCGTCAGGGTTTAGCTTAAGACGCAAGATCGGCTCCATACTGCAGACTTCGCGTGTGCACACACGAGGTAGTTCCGGGCCATACATCGAACCCAGCATATCCTAGCCACATGAATGTTTTGGAATGTGTGGGCACGCGAGCACGCATGCACTTCGTTGCTGTGGGAGCTTTGCTTGCGAAGTTCCGTTGTGCTTCAGCAGGGGCTGGATGCTTCTTCGACCAAGATGTGTTTTTGTTCAGCTGGTAATAGGCTTTGAACAGGGGGCTGATAGGTTCAAGACGTTGGTCCCCCTGTGACCCGTGAAGTTGGATCCGGCCATCTAGACTCTAAGGCCGTGGGTTTGGTTTGTTGAGCCTTTGTTTTTTTTACCAGTGGGCAGGCCGAGTATGCGAATGCCATCCAGACAAACATTGAAGGATCCATTGATGCCTTTGTCAAGAGACGTAAGAATGAATACGGCAGGGTGTCAAGTTTGGCCGCGTGATTAGTGGATGCAAATAAATCGACCCCATGCACATGGCTGCGTAGAAGTCATGGCTCGTCGTCAGCGCTTGTTCGAGTTCACGGCATCTAAGGCACAGGGAGACTGCACAGCACAGGGCCCGAACAGATGTCCCAGCACTTCCGGGACGTGACTTTGTCGCATGCAAGTACTGCAAGCATAAGTTAGCCCCAGTTAAACCCGGTATCCACAAGGACCGTAAACAGTGAGATTTGGGTCAATGTTGTGAGCCACAGACCTGTGAAGCTAAACTTGTGAGGCGTCGCTCTCTGCAGGCTCTGCACGCATCAATCCGCATGCCCTGGTGCGAGTGTCTACGGAACATAGAGGCAATATACGTACCGAAAATAGGCACCGAAATTTATAACAGGGAGCCTCAGGGCTAGTATTTTGTAGAGCCAGGCCAATAGATCGGCGTAGACGGTGGGTTGTGGTCCTGTAAGGGGCTTTGATTACTACACTCTTCAACCCTACATGCTGAAGCGAAGGCTTGAAGCGATGGTGTTTTTTTGCGTCTGTCTTCCCGGGCAAGCTTACCAAGCCTGTGTGCCAAACAAAAGGTGTTTTCTCGGGGTTTCGAGGGTTCGCCTTCGACGCATATTCGACAGGGAACTTAAATAACGATGCTGTGGCAATCAGCATGTTGCTGTCTCTTGTGATTCGTACTTACTGTATTTTTCAGCCGAATGCGTCATTGTCAGTTATTGCGCAACTTCGTAGGCCAGTGTCCATGTTGTACCTGGGGTCAGCGAGCTGCGGGGCAACTGAAAAGAGAGTAACCTAGGAGTCTTACAAGTAGATCCCGACAATCGAGGTCCTGGTTGCAGATGAAAGGCATTGCACGCCGATCTCAAGTCGGCGGCTGCTTGGATGTCAGGGCTCAAGGGCTTTGGGGCTTCAGGCCGCCACACTTGTTAAATATTCTTAAGGTTTTTTGTTTCCACAGGGCTTCAAGGGCTTTGAGGGCTAAATTTTAGCGTTAGTTGTCATGGCATGGCCTGGGCAGGAAGGGAAGTGCGATACCAAATGGTCGTCAGAGTCCCGTTTGCCTGGTGTGTCTCAGTGTGGGCGTTGAAGCCATAGCAGCCATAGCATCAGACTGAATACTACGGAAGCAGAGATTCATGAAAATCATGAAAACTGAGAGCCTGGGAACATCAATCCTGATGTGTGATGGCTTGCCCAGACCAGTCTCGGAGGGGGGCAAGAGGCAAAGAACCCGATGAATCTTCGAGCCAAAGAAAGCCATGATGCCAGTTGTGGTGGTGGTCCTAGTCACTCAGTCGCGTTCCACTCTGAGTAGATCATTGCTGCTGCTGGGTTTCTCCAGCTATGTGCTGGCAACTCTGAACAGCTGCTCAGGCTTTCTTACAGTTCCCGACACATCACTAATCTTAGCAAGTCCCAAACAAAAAAGCGATCTCAAGACAGACACCGGCATACTGTAGGTATTGCCTGGGGTGTGGCATGGTGTGACGATTGTTTGTGTGTGGTATTTTGGTGTCTGCTCGGCTTGCAGGCTTTCTCTCGTGTGGACACATGTCTCGCCTGGAGAGTCCAAGTGCGATCTCCGAAATCCTAAGCCTCAGATCCCCGCCCAACCCCTAAACCCTAAACCCCTGAACCCCAAGCTAAGACCTCACATCCGAGGACAGGAAGAGCCCGAGTTCTTCCCTGTTCACGGCGGGGTCGACAAGTCCTGCGCCGGGCTACTTTGCATTGATATAGGGGTTGCTTTAAAACCAGGGGCAACTTCTGGCAAAGGGATCCACACCACTATAACACAAAGGCTTTCAGCCTCTCTTTGTTCAGCCTCTGCAGCTAATACCCTAGGCCCGAGGGAATCTCATCAAAGTTGACTTGGTGCTCTTGTTTGAGTTGCAGGATCGTACATACTTCATGGCTGTTGTGGATCAATCGGTCAATCTACCCGGTTCTGTTGGGAGCTCACTGCACTCGCTAGAAACATGCAGTCATGTCATAACATACATGCCAGTGCAAAAGTATGTCTTCGGAAACACAAGTTGCGTGGATGGAGAAAGAAAGGCCTTCTACTATGTCTGCCACGGACTCGAGTAAGGAGACAGTGGCAGCTTGGCACAAGGAAGGGGTGTTGATAGCAGAAGCGCTTTCCCTGTGCTGTGCATGTAGGTGCAGAAGTGCCGTTTGGTGCTATCCCGTCAGATGTGATGGAAACGCTTTGCACAAACCTCAGGAAAGGAGCTTGGAGGATTGCAAGAATCGCTGTTTGGCCACTCCTTCCTGCAAGGCCAGCTTTCGGTTAGGCTGGCGCAACACGGCGCAGCACTTGAAGAAAGAAGCGGTTCTACCCGTCCAAAGCAAGAGAAGCTGCGCCTAACCCCACGACAGAATTGGACCGTTCCCCTTAGTCGTTTCCAGCACTCACCCCCGAATCTCGGTTGTCCCCATGGGGACTCACTCTTGTTGAGACAACCTCTCGTAGCATGTCTAGTGTTTTTGTTGTGTGAGGTCACTGCCGCATTTCACAATAATACAACACCTGTAGCATATCTTGGGCCAGGGCCTTGACTGGAGCGGTAGCCGTGCCTTGGCTGCAGACTTGCATCGACTTGAGGCCTGCGGGTCGAGCAGTGTTTGGGATGAGATGCAGCACTTCCCTGTAGTTTGCAGTGCCATGCCCGTTGGGGGCATGGTGAACAAGATGAGCTGCAGGTTTTTGTGCGAACCCAGGCTGCCGCGTCTGGACGCAGCACATCAGCGGCAGCCTTCATAGATCAGGCGGCGGCTGCAAAGGGCTAAGGGGGCAAGGCCGAGGGGAAGCGAGCCCCGAGCTCGGAGCCCGACATCAATCGCGACATCACCCGACCTCAGTTACTGAGCAGTCGAACCCAACATGGGGCGATGTAGCTGACCGAGATCGAGGAAGCCCTCTAATTACTACCCTGCATCCTAGCAAGGAATTGAAGGTTGAGCACGCGCAAGCCACAGATGCTCCACCTTCACGCAGCTGATGCCCGAAGATACAGAGGGGAATGACATGCACTCCAGGAGAATGTTTTGGATACCCACAAACAGGTTCCTTCTTAGAGCAGAGCGGTCGCAGTCGTACCACGACAGTACACCAGAAGCCCTTCCCCTGCAAGGGTATTCGGCATACTGCATTCCTTCGAAGCTCAACCCTCGGTGCAATGGGTCAGAGTTCCGGCAGCACGGCGACTGCTGTCCTGGGCCGGCTGCGAGGGCAGGACGACGACGATGACTGCTGCACTCCGGACAAACACAAAACCAAGCGTGAGCCACTCAGAAAGACGCGAATCGTGACCCGATTCGAGGGCAGCGAAGGTGCGGACTCCGTCTTTGAGATGGCTTTCGATGTGGCGGAAGGAGCTACAGCTCACTCGCTGCTTCAGGAGCTGCAAGGCAAGCTTGCGGCGGAGCGTCCAGAGGCACCGCGAGTGATCGGGCTGAGGGTGTTGCGCACAGCTCAGCAGGAGGCACAGGCGCTGAACCCCTCAGCTGTTGCCGCTGCCTGCGGGTCCCTGTGCGGCAAGGAAGCATTGCTGCAGGGAGATGAGCTGATTTTGGACTACGACATTCCCCTCGAGGAGGCGCTGGGGGACGGTGAGTGCTTCGAGGCTGTGTTCGAGGTTCCCGGCGACTCAATAACATCTCGATCATCGCAGCATGCTGCTGCCAGCAAAGGCTTTGCAGATGGGGCGCGCAACGCCATCCAGGACTTCGACATTGTCCGTGTAGTTGGAGTCGGTGGATCGGGGCGCGTACTGCAGGCACGGCACAAGCCGACGGGGAAGTTCCGAGCCGTAAAGGTCATGAGCAAGGAGCGCCTGTTCCAGCAGGAGCAACGGCTTCAGCGGGTTATCACAGAGAAGCGAATTCTCGCGCGACTCCAGCATCCATTCGTCGTCTCTTTGCATTGGGCGTTTCAAACTACCACACACCTCTTCCTGGTTCTCGACTTCTGCGGAGGTGGAGAGCTATTCTTCCACATGCTGCATCGGGGCCGATTCGAAGATGCCGACGGCAAGTTCTACTTTTGTGAGATCTTGCTGGGATTGGAGTACTTGCACTCCCAGCAGATTTTATACCGCGATCTCAAGCCAGAAAATTGCTTGCTGGACGATGAGGGCCACATACGGCTCACCGACTTTGGACTGTCTAAGGACAACCTGACCAACTCCGCACTGTTCACATCGTTTGTGGGAACCGCCGGCTACCTTAGCCCTGAGATGGTTGCAAGGCAAGGCCATGGCCTCCCTTTGGACTACTACTGCCTGGGTTGTTTGCTGTACTGCCTTCTGACCGGCTCCCTGCCGCATTACGAGGGTGACTACAAGGTCATGATCCAAAAGCGGGTGAAGGGCGAGCCCGTCCAGTTTCCGCCTTGGGTAAGCCAAGATGCACAAACTCTCCTTACGGGCTTGCTGCAGCCAGATCCAGCAGATCGCATTGGCACCAAGCAAGGTGCATTGGAGGTCAAAGAACAAGCTTGGGTTGGCGAGGTGGACTGGAATAAGGTCTACAGAAGAGTGCCGCAGGATTGCTTTCCGAACTTTCCGCCGGTGAAGCTAGGATCTTGTTCAGCATCGCAAACGACGTTACCATAACTAGGACATCTTCTGATCCCAATATGAGCCATACCATAAGTTTAAGAGTAAGCGAACATGACTTAAATTCGCAATATACCCCCCCCATAATTTACAAGTAAGCCAACATGACTTTAACTAGTAATATTAACTATAAGTCTTTATAGCACCCAGGAAGCCGCAGCCCGACTGCAAAGCGAACTTTGCCTCCGAGTTCACGGCACAGCCGGCCCCGGAGGACCTCAGTGGCTTCGATAAAGAGGCTCATCCAGCCTTGGAGGTGTCTGTGCTGTATACTGTAGGGTTAACTTAAGGATGCATATTTGTAATCAGGACTTGTACTTTTAGGGTCCATTGAAACTTTGGCTGAAAGTGACCTGACCTTGGATCTGTAGCAGATCACATGCTGTCCTGTTCTGGTACAACCCAGGTGCTCCACGTCGAGGGCTTCTCGCAGGTCAGTAACCCCTGAGCCGATCTCCTTTGTCGGACCGGTGGGCCCGTATCACGGGCACACGGTTCTTCATGCATTTTCCACGGGAAGTCGAGCTTTGGAACCTGGTCTCCTAAGAAGAGGCCTCTCATGACCTCTGCATCAGTCGGAGGGGAGTGGTTCGACCTTGCCAGCCTTCGAAGTAGATAGAAATCGACGCTTGTGAGCCTGCACCGAAACGGGTGTTCAAAAAAGTATCCAACACACCTGACCTTGAGGGCATTCGACATTGGCTTTCTGCTTGCAGGCTTCTAAGAAGAGGGAGCTCAAATCCCAGATCCCATTGGCCCAAAGCCCGTCCTAAGCCTTAGCCCTGTTTAATGAACTCGATAAGCACCCTGAGCCGCACCGGGCTCCGATGAATATTTGAGCCCGGTAGACGGTGCTTGTTCTGCCAGGTTCGACATGCCTACGGCTCGTCCCAGAATCTTGATGGATTTGATGGGTCTTGATGGGTGAGTGGCGGTTCACCGATGATGTACAGTAGAATCTGAAATCACAATTTCATTATCATGATCTATCGCCGTGTAGGCCATTGCAGAGTTTACATATTATACACACTGAAAGATAGACAGATTCATAAATGTATATGCGCACACAGACATTAGGTGTATATATATATATATATAGATAGATAGACAGCCTTCTGTATGCATATGTGCAGGTTGGGACAGGCACATATATGTACGTATACATATATATATATACACATGTATGTATGTATGTATATATATATATATAGATATTTGTTTAGAAAGAAATAAAATAAAGAAAGATATCAATAACGGTAGATAGATCGATATATCGCCTTCTGTATGCATATGGCCAGGCGCAGGGACAAGCATGCATGTATATCTATGTATGCATGTATGTATGTATGCACTTCTGAAGCTTCTCTGACCTCCCAAACCCTCGCCTGCTTGTCGAGTGCGAGTGCTAAAAATGTGTATGCACACACACACATATATATATATGTATATATGGTATAGGGGCCTTTAAAAAACCTATACCATTTTGGTGGTTCCTTAACTATCGTATAATATACCCCAAAACCCTATTCTAATAATTAAAGCCCCTACATTATGTGTATGTACGGACATATGAATGCACACCCATGCACATGCACATTCACATGCACGTACACTCAAACTACATACATACGTACATGAATACATACATACATGCATACATACATACATGTATGCACAAAAACAAACATACATATATACATTTATACATATATACATATACATTTACATATACATACAGACATACAGACATACACACATACACGCAAGCAAACAGAGGCAGACAGCCAGACAGACGGACAGACACACAGACACAATTTGCACGTTACACGCCTCACGTTACACATTACTTAACACTATAGTACATACCATACCACACCATATCGAGCACAAACGCAAGCACCCAAACCCAAACACATACACCGACACAATCACACACACACACACATATATATATATATATGTATACATATATGCATATGTATATGTACATACATACACACGGACATGCGAATGGACACCCTCGCTTACTTACTTACCTACCTACTTACTTACCCATACCTACCTATTTACTTACGTAATTACTTGCGTACCACTTACTTACTTACTTACTTACTTACTCATGTGCGCAGGTTGATTGATTCATTCATTCACTCACTCATTCATCCGTTCCAACCCACCCGATCCCATCCCACCCGATCCTATCCCATCCCATTCCATTCCAGTCCTTCATGGATGTATTCCGTCATTCGTTTCAGCTGTTGTTTACAAGCACACCTGAATCTAGACACATGGTCCCACTTTAGCTTGATTTTCGTGAACCTACAGCTAAACTTCTGAATGTGTTTCCGGTTATTTTTCGTCGAGTTAATAAGGGCGAGACCCCAAAACCCCTCTTCGACTTTCCTGCGCTTCGTCTCTGAGGACGTGTCTGTGCTGCAGAACTTTGTGGCGGTGAATGGCGGCCACGGCCAAAGTTGCCGGGGCAAGCATGCCTTCGACAAGGAGGAGCGCAAGCACATTCCCGAATTCGGCAATGATTTACGGAAACGGCTACGGGCAATACTGCTTGTAGCAACTATAGTCGTGGTAGTTATGCCAAGTTCAGCGCCACCCCCCATAGCAGTAATCATCGCAATCGCTCATCTTGCAGACTGAGCAGGATGTGTAGTTGTGACGACCACAAGCCCTAGACCCTAGACCCACGTAGCCTTGCTTGCATTGTGCGAGTGTGAGAGTCGAAGCCCTATAGTCCCCATAGCCGTAAGCAGGCGGCCTACTACACGGCCAGCGCGGCCGGCTCACTTGAGGAATGCAAAGCTGCGTGCGTGCAGCATCCGGAATGCCAGGCGACTTGGTTAGGGTTTAGGGTTTCGGGACTTGAGAGAAGAGGCAATGCTGACAGTCATCAAGGCCGGTTTCAAAAGGATCCTCGAGTTGCGCAAAGACTCCAAGTCCTTAGGTCCGAGGAGCATCTAATCTAAGGGTGAGCTTCTAAGAACCCTGGAAAACAAGGGCTGGCCTGTTCTCTTCGCGGTTATTGATTACTTTCCGATTTCGAGTTGATGGCGAGGTTGGGAGGCCGCGGGGTCAGGTCGTCAGGCCGCGCCGCGAGGCTGCGAAGTTAGGACGCGAGGTTCCCCAATCCCGTAATCTTATTATTGTCAGGTCTTATCTCACAGCTTCAGGGTTCGGGATGTCCCGTTCAGGGACTTGGGCTGCTCAGCTTAACAACAAGCCCTGCACCCTCAACACCTACACCACGCGAAACCGCCGGAGCCATGAAAAGCTAAGCAACACAACGCTGCCCCATATCCCTAACAGACCCAAGCCGTGAAGAATCCCGAAATATCCTAAGCTCTGCCCCAAACTCCGAAAGCACCAGGGTATCAGTTTCGCCAGCTCCGGCAGCTGCGAGATTTGGACACGACCGGAAGGACTTCCTAGAGCACCGTGTACGGGTTTAGGGCTTAGAGGGCATAGGGAGCCTAGGTGTTAGGCTCAAGGCTGCCGGTTTAGTGTTAGGGGCTTAGGGTTTAGGGTCTAGAAATCAAGCCGGAGAAATTGCAAGGTTCTCTGTGTATGAATCTTACACATGACAGACCTACTCGTCCATGATTTCCGGGTTAGTTGTACAGCTGGCCATATTTTTGTATGCAAGCGCCCATGCGCCGCCATCATCTAGGACCCAGGGCTGTCCAAATGAAGGTCGGTACGGCATCCAAATGGCAAGCCAATGCCAGGAATCGAGGCCACTGCCGAGGACGACGGCTCGGTGTGCCTCAAGGCGTGATCATAGTCCAAAATGTTCCAAAAACACTTCTTTACAAGAGGCTACTATTGAACTAGATGCCTTTAAAGGCACGCACCCCATGCCACCCCATCGTCAGCATGGATAGGTTATTGTGCACAAAGCAAAGCTGCGAAAAGGCTGTCCTCTGCAAGAGGGCCGGTACCATCGCAAAAAACATCAAGGAGGTAAACAGGGCTAGGGCTCAGGGTCTTTGTCCTAAGAGTTCATGTGCATACCCGTACAGTATATACTTCCACGTAAAGTACCACTTTGAGGCTTCAGAGTCAGAACTGGCAGATGCATCCTCAGGCTTCCGGCTTAGGAAAATGTCTTGCCGTTCTGACTCATGTAGCACAGGGAACGTACATGCTGCAGAAGGTACCCGAAGCCACATGCCGGATTGGTCCGACGGCACTTTTTTTGTCTTACCCTCGCGTGTAAACACGTTTGGTCACATCCTCCGTTACCGACACCCCTCTAGAACCCGGATATTTGACCCCCATTGTAGCACCCCGTATGCGCGATTTGCCGGAGGTACCCACAGAGACGACGACTTCCACAGCGCCGCCCACGGAGCCGACCACGACCAGTCGCTCCAAGTGGAAAGACTGGGAGGTCTTCTGGGGTATGAACTGCCACTCAACTGATCCTGGCAACCTGTAGAAGCCTTGTCGGATTTGGGGCCTGGGGATGCTGTATGTGCATGTTGATATGGGAGTTTCCGAAAATAAGGGGTACCTTATTTCGGGGTCCTTATAATAACGATCCTACTATTTGGAGTACTATATTAGGGTCCCCTATTTTCGGAAACCCCCATATGCACCCTGGCACTGGACTCCGAACTTCAAGCCTGCTATCGCTGGCAAGTGTTGCTCCACTGCGGAGACTGTGAGGTTGGAAGCACCATGGAGCTGACGAGTTTGACATCGATCCCCTCCGAGGGCAGTACACTCTGCAAGAATGCCAGGAAGCCTGCCTCCAGGACGCTGAAATGAGCATGGGGACTGCAGCAGGTTTGCTTTGCAGAGAGTGCTTCTTGCTTGGGCTATTTGCAGGAGCCTGAATGCCAAGGGGTCGTGATGCCACAGAGCGATGAACATGCGTCCAAGAAGACGTGTTGGCTGCGGAAGCATCTCGACTTTGCTTTGTGGAGTTTAGCGAACGTCATGACTTGATGCTAAACCCCTTAACCTGAAGACATTTGCACCCAGGAACGTGCACAAGGAGAAGTGCCGGCAAGGCCTGCGGAGCTTCGGGCATCACTTCCGACGTCGGAGAGACGCCAGCAGAGCCCCCAAACTCCTTGAACGTAGGTTGGAGCGAGCCAGGGAACAGTGACGACTGGCAAAGAACGTCACTCCGCAGTGCGCCGCCCGAGCTACCTCATGATTGCTGGCAGGCCACCCTTTCAACTTTTGGTTGCGGCCGGGAGTTCAGCTGCAACGAGCAGGGCTGCTTGGTGCAGCCGGCAATCACACAAGTCACGCCAAAGAGTTGTACCAAACCGTAACAAAGCAGGACAGCCAGCCAGGCTTGCCTGAAGCATGAGAAGCTGAGACAGCTAAGCGTAATCATCTGAGTCCAGCCAGCGAAGCCGCCTGCTGTGCGTCTTTCGAGTCGTGGCCGAACACCGACAAGGTGCAATGCAGCTTGCCTGCAACATCTAAGCCCATGAGCCTGCGGGACTCAGATCGCAAAGAAGCCTACATTACGGTGGTCTTGAATAACCTAGCTTCACTCTTAATTACGGGCCTCCCAATTAGCTGAGCATTTCGTTGGCTTAACCTTGCAATCGTCATCGCATCATCATCATCATCATCATCAGATCATGGTTCCGCTACCAACAACGAAAACAACAGCTGCTGTGCTGCTACCACGACTACGACTACCGCGACGACGCCTGCTGCCATTCGAACTACTCCTGATGGCTACTACTAGTACTACTGCTACTGCTGCCACTGCCACTGCTGCTGCTGCTGCTACTACTACTACTACTACTACTACCACTACTACTTCTGCTCGTGCTGCCGCTACTACCAGCACCACTACACCCCTCAGTGGCACTGCTTACCATACTGATGTCGTCTGTACGTAGATTCATTGCCATGAAAGTCCATGTCATAGTGAAGGGTCGGTGAGTGATGCTGTGGTAGCATTGACGGTGGTTTTGAGCAAAGCCTGTGGTGGTGCTTACGATCCCCACATGTATTACTGTGATGCGGAGGATCAGTTCGATGAAATTTTCTCATATCAGTAACATTGCCATTGCCACGAGACTGTCGGTGCCGGGGTCATGGTCTCCGTGATTGCCATTGCTGTTCGTAGTCTTTGTTTCGTACACTTCCAACAACCTCCCCAGGCTCGGGATGCATGGCCCTGGTTGAAGCGGAACCCTTCGGTGGCAGATGCGATCCTTTCCTGAAAACGCGCAGCTTATTTTCATCCCCTGACCCCGATAGGGTTAAGATTGCTTTGATAGATGCTGCCGCTAGGTTGTTTTGGTTTGCAACAGTTTGCCCATGTATAGCCACTAGATCAGGACCCAGCCAGTGAACATCAATGCTGCGTTAAGGACAAGTATTGCGAAAGCTTCGGCCATGTTTGTTACCAAGCAGCCGAAGAGGTCAATGAAAACTGCCACTTGATTGCACTTGTAGCTGCTTGTAGCTTCGGCTTTCGGAAACACTGACAGCACACTGTCTGCGTCTCGATCAGAGGTGCCGTCAAGTTCACTTCCAGACTCCTGGTTGCATTCGGCATTTGTGGTGCTGCATGCTGCTGCAAGCAAAGCGATCCTTTTTTTTGTTTCGCCGGAGCCACAACACACTCTGACTTGCCTCGGTGGGGTGCCAGGATGCGATGTGGCCATCACTGGTACCAGCGATATGCTTTGCACTTGCCGCCATCCACAGTCCGTGCCCTGCCCGAAGAGATGGATCATTTTAACCACCTTGTAATCAACACCAGCAAAATGAAACAGCAATAACCCCAATCCTCCTTTGTCGCCTTGCTTGCAAACAGTGTTCGTAATTTTTCGCTTCCAGCTGGATATAGAAACTGTGTGGCTGTGTGGCTTGGGGCAAACCCTAGGACATCTCAGTAACCCGTACAGACGCTCGGCCCCACCCTTGTTTGGTGTGTTTCTGCATACACGGCGAAGCCAGCAACACAAGTGTGGCAACACCTTCCTAGTGGCCCTTCTGTCAACTCGTCAAGCCAGCCGTCCTTAGATGCACTTTGCTCGATCTGATCGACATTCTACCCATAGGCGCCATAGTAGTTCCTTTTGGGGATTATCTTATAGTATAGGATTCTAAATATGAGCCCCAAAAGGAACTACTATGGGGCCTATGGGTAAACCCTCGAACCCTGTGTCGTGAGACCTCAGGAGTCGGGGCTTGGTTCAACTTTTTCCTCAGCCCGATTGGCATAGGCGGCATAGCATCTGATCCCTAACCCGCTTAGGCTAGCTGGGACGCATCGTGTACAAAAAGAACCTCGTCTGACTAGAACATCTTCCATGCTTGAACCTCTCCTGCTACGTCAATAAACCTAGGAAAAACCCCCTATCCTAAGCCTATCCCCCACGAGCCCCAAAAGACACCGCCCAGATGGACGAACCCAAGTGCGATTGGCCGGAGCCCGAGCCGCTCCCTCCGACGCCGAGCCCCGATGCGTGCTGCCGAAATCCGAGCCAATGGCCTTCCGCGGCTTCTCTAAAACAGTAAAGAGTATAGTATATTACAGTGTTAGTACAGCGATCACAGTGTAGTGTAACTTTACTTTCTGCGGTTTAGTTGGGGGATTCCTGGTTGCATCTTGAGGCTATTGGGTGTTAGGTGACTTCTGGTATTGCTTATCAAACAGATCCGGAGTTACAAGAAGGCAAGGGCAAGGACCACAAGGTATGCACATTGGTCATGGCTTATTGTGCTGCTGGCAGGCCTAAGGTGAATCCCAGGAATCCATGATGAGACATCGGGGTTGTCTAGCAATGCAATGCAGGGTACTCCAGTTTTTCCTGCATCGTCTCAATCTAGGGGTGACTCTTCTGATACGAAAATCGCATGAGGGTGTATTGCGGGCCGGGTGCGGCTGCGAGAGTCCAAATGCGGACCGTAAGTGTTGATGGGCTGCGCCGGGTTGAAAGCGCCACACGGAGGCGAACTAGTCTTGCTCGGGAGTCGGTTTTGGTGTTCAAGTCAAAGTGTTTTGAGGCTTCCGGGTTTGTGCTGATGAAGCATCCGAGCTTTATTGAGCGGATGACTTTTTGGCATGATCGCTCGGCAGACCTCCATGTTTGGGGCTAAGCAGGCGGTTGCTGCACCCGGTTTCATGGCTCAGCCTGGGAAAAAATGCCTGCTCAGGTGGATAATGGCGTCACATGTGACGATTGCATGGCTCTCGTGGTGACCGCCCCGTACGGTAATCGCTGCGACAAGTACTGTGAAAGTTTCGACCACGTGTGTGTAGCCGCGGCGGAGGAGCAGAACGAGAACTGTGAGATACAGTACACTAAGCGCTGCGATGAGCCCATCGAAGGCACCTCGGACATGTTGTGCAAGTGTGTGAAGAAGAACGCCCCGCCGTTTTGCCCGGCTCCTCCGGCGCCGCCTGCACCAACGCCCGAGCCCACGCCCTCTCCTGATGCGAGAATTCAGGTGGTTGGAGCCGCAGCTAAAATGGCAACCATGTCTTACTTTAGTTGGTTGCCGCTCTGCGTGCATCGTACCCGCCAAGGCCCTAGACGTCCTCCTTGATTGCGAATATCAGAATCATAGGACTTATCTCCTGAGGAAAGCAGTTGCTCGTCGACGGCAAGCCACTGCACCTCAAGGGCGTAGCCTGGAATCCCGTTCCCAAAGGAGGCCGGCACCCCCAAGACCTGGACTTTGCTCGCTTCGTGGAGGAGGCTCGAATTCTTTTCAATTGAGTATCTTTATGATTTTATTGGAAATAGACAAGAAAAAGCCAAGCAAGGAACACATTGTGTTGACATAGAAGGTACATGTTCCTCGGTCGAACATGTTTCAAGATCTTTCGAGGCTTTCAGGGTTGATCTGTTCACCACGGTCTCTCTGAGGGGCGACCGCATCATGTCTATGATAACGATGCATCTTCATCTAGTACATTTTGCGTTTGCTCTCCGTATATATATATATATATATATCTGGGCAACCATATGTATATGTACAGGTACGCATGTGTAGCACATGTGTTCCGGTTTATCAGCATAGAACCGGTGAGAAAGATCTGCACCTGCTCACGTGTGCAGGATTCTCAAATTATGCAGAGTATGGGTATCAATGCCGCACCTCGGTCCAACATTGGTTCCGAGTCCGGGGGTCTAGTGTATGGAGAGTGCCTGGTTGCTGATAGCATGATGTACCGCAGAACGTGCAGGCATGTTCTTTTTATGCAAGGCCAGATCGGGTAGGTCTGTAGAGTGCCAAGAGCCATGACAGTTCCAAGAAATTTGAAGGCCAACGGCTAACGCCTCACGAGTACCAGGTCCGCACATACGAGCCTATCACCGACACATGGATCCTGGACACGCTTTGGCGTCGAGGCCTGCCAAGAGACACACGAAGACTAAGCATCCGAAGTGCCGAAGTTTGATAAGTCTGTCCAAAACCGAATCGAAAGTTCACATATGATATAGTCGGTTTAGGCCAGAGCCTGTATCCCTTCAGGCATTTGGGTTGTGAACAGCGTTTACAACTGGGGCGGTGCCTCGGCGAGAGATGCAGCAAATCCCGTGAAGGCCGTCAAGGCCTGCGACATGCATGCTCTGGTTCTGAAGTGCAATGTTGGCTGTGTTGCATCCTGACGTGCATACACAGATGTAACGCATTCACGAGCACGGATAGGTCGGTAGGTACGGCATTAGGAGACCTAAGATTGAAAGCGGCGTACCTGTGACATGTAAATCCCTGTTTGCATGGTTTAGATTCTGCACACAAGCCAGCGGAGTCTCCGTCACATGTGCATGCGGACATAGCAAGTTAAAGCATTTGCACGTACATACTGAGTATGTTCACACACATAGGCCTTACGCATTGACTACTTACACACTCACATGTGCTCGCAAGTTCCTGTATTTGCATGAATGTCTGCATGTGGCCGGCATCTCGCACAGCATGCGCACAGACGGGCACATCTTGGGAGTGGTTTAGCAGACGGCCGAAGCCCCAAACAGGGTTCTTCCGCCGTAGGGTTATCTCTCGTGCGTGCCGAGTAATCTGTTGGAACCGGGGAGGAAGTAGCCAGGACGGGAATCGTAGGCTTCAGCCCACCACATACCCCGAACCGACGACAGGATCACCCTGCTATCCTGATGTGGTCCATCGGACACACGGCGGCACAGGGGGTATGGGCCGAGCTCACGAGCTATTATTCCGAAGTCGCTTTGGCAGAAATACAGGTGAACACCCACGGAGTCTGGTCCGAGTCATCCCCCCTTGTGCTTGCCCCAGTCGGTTGTATGAAGTCGACGATGTTGCGCTACATTGTCGCTTCGCTACTGCAGTAAAGGTACTATATATTCCCGCACATGAATACGTGATTGTGGTACTCGTTGCGCAGAGAAGACACCACGCTCTTCTGCACGAGGTTGTCCTGCCTATGTTAGGCCGCACTATGCCATGCTGCTGCATTCCGAAATTCGCCGATGCTGGAGTTTACTGCTAGCTTCTAGATGAAGCTTTGATACGAAGTGAGTCAGTGCCCACGATTGCTGTCTCTGCATGAAGAGACACAAACACGCATATATGCGCAGAGGAAATGAGTGGAACTACAACGGTCTCTACGTGGGAAGCAGCTTCTTCGACTGCATTGCCAAAATCCGGGATGTGGCGAAGGTGGTGAGGGAGCTCCTTGGTCAGCGAGCGCGCCTAAGGGATGGGGGTTAAAGATTGAGGTCTCAGCCGTTCAAAGGGGGTGATACTGTAGAAGCCTGCTGCACAAATGAAAGATTTGGGGGTTTGGAGTTTTAGGGGGACCGGCCTTTGATGACTTCTGGATGCCCTGAAGCATCAGCTACTAGTTACCAGGGCTCAGACTGGGTGTGATGCTTTCGAGGCTTTGTGTGCTTCTCTCCAGACCCCGTGTGCTTCTTCTTGTTACATTTTTTGCTGTTGGATGTCATGCGACATGAGACTGTTGACTACGCGAAGCACAGGTTCGACACGAGCCACCCCATTTCCTCGATCTATGGAGACACCGGGAAGCTGGATCAGGCAGCTCAGGCGCTTCCAGAGATTGATGTCTGGGGCATCAACTCATACCGCGGCATCAGCTACCTGCCTGCCTTTAAAGCTCTTTACAGGGCCTCCAACTTCACAAGGCCGCGCACCCTAAAGGCCAGAAAGCCTGCAGAGGCCGTACACTATAAGGCTTAAAAACCCTAAACCGACCCTCTTTGTATTTTGGACTGGACAAAGCGGCCGAAGTTTTGGAAAGTGCGCCTGAGGTTTCGGCGGCCTCTTCGATGAGTTTGCCAGAATTACCGACAAGCCCATGTATTTGGGATGCCTGTTTGCACCAGTGTGCTTTCAAATACATGCTCTAGATACCGGGGTTGAGCAGCTTTGCGTCTCAGAATCCACGCCTCATGACTTTGCGCAAATGCTCACAGGAATTTCAATTCATCTCTTCGCGCACAGGGCATTTCAAACGTCAAAAGACCACCGACTAGTTTCAATCTGAAGCTTCCGAAAGCCCAAACCAGCCGAGTACGAAGTGCCGCAGAGAAAGTAGGCCATCCCGGGTGAATGGATGCAAGAACGATCATGTTGCATTGTTTGTGCCCGGGCTACTGCTAGCCTGGTCTGGACGAGGCACACCTTCTCGTTGCATACTACGTGCTCGGACATGAGTTCACATGCGGTTGTCTGATCCGCAGCGATCGCTTTTTGCCTAGTCCAATGAGGTGAGTATGGTGCCGATGCCTACAACGCCAAGATCAACAGTGAGGACCGCGAGTCCCAGGCAAGGGCGACAAAGGAGCTGACGGCTTCTTGACGCAGAATCATAGTTCCGGGCTTCAGACTGGGTGTCCTGGATTGGCATGAAGATGTCTTGGCATACTGCCGAGCACATCGGGCGTGTGGCATCGCAAGGCATGGCGACTTTTGGAAGGAGAGCTCTCGCTTTTGGTCGGCGGTCAAGCGCGTTGCTTAGAGTTGCGGTCGCTGTTTTTGCGTGCTTGTGCGTGGTTTTTGGTTTGCGGGGGTGGTTGTGGAGGGGGGTGGGGGGTGTTGCCGCATGTTGTTGTGTGTGAGAAATCCTGCGCCTCGTGTCGTGGTCTGTCGCTTTCGCGCAGCACGCAAAGCCGACGGCCAGCAAGCGATAATGCTTGCTTTCCATGGCAGGATACGATTCGTCGGGAGCCGTTTTGCTGAGTGGTCTTTCGGTCTGTCTGTCGGTTATGCAGTCAATGTATATAGTTTGATTATGTATGTATGAATGTACGTACGTATGCATGTATGTATGCATGTATATCATGCAAGCGCCCATGCAGACATGTATTAAATTATATATGTGCAGTTCATATTCTCACACGGGAAGACCTGATTGAAGTGCAAGTCCATGGTTGTCACATCCTCAACATTCTGTGAGGTTACACGAACACATGGATTTGGTCACGTTCACGTGCTAACACATGCATACATGGCTTCGTGTCTGTGAAGACACACAGACAGTGTAAGCGTGTTTTTGTACAATGCACAGATATATAAGATAGGTAGATATGTCCCACTCTGTGTCTGCACAGACATCGTGGCTAGTACCCTGCACGTGGTAGAAAGTACCACGCGTGAGGTGTTTGTCCTTGTACTGATGTATGCGCATTTATGATTCATGAATGCACGCGCGATCTATTTTCTCGAATGCCCGTGCTTGTTTGCCTACCGTGACGCATAGAGCCTCACTTGCAGAGACTCAGGCACCATGCCGTAACATGACATACATACATACATACATATGTATATATATATATACATATATATGTATGTGTTATATTCTGTTACATGTGTAGATATGTATAGATAAGTATGTACGTCGTTCTTCGTCTTTTAGTTCGTTTTGCACATATTTATTGACTGACTTTTTTGTTTATGCACCCGTACTCAGAGAGGAGGTTTGCCAAACGAGTTAAACGAGTCTGTGTATGCATGCCTGTATTCATGTCCAAGAGAGCAGCCACAAGCCAAGGAAGAAATCCTCAGCAAAAGCTCGGTCTCGAACCGCCGCTTGGACATGCATGTTGGTTTGGCGGCCTTCGTTCGCCTGGGTTTGTGCATACCTGGCTCAGCTTTCCAGGTCCAATTTCGGGGGACGCTTTGAGAGCATAGGAGCTCCCTCAACGCCGACGACTCTTTGAGAGACCCTCAGACCTCGGAATCTCGGCAGCCGAGGTGGCTCCTGCATCGGCGGCTTTGTGTTCGAATTCAGCAGCTCGGAGATGGCATCAGAGTGAAAGTAGGGTGGGGAGGCGGAGTGGAGAGAGCGATACTACTACAGACCCGGAAGCCGCAAAAAGACTAAATCCCCCATTTCAGCCCGTGCGACCTCTCCAAGATGATGAGTGGCACAAAGACAACGACGGAAGCCCGGATGATCACGACACCGGCGGCGTGGCTCCTGGGGGTGGCCCCTACCCAGACAGAACGTTCAACGAGGACCCGGCATCGCTGCAGATTGTTTGTGGAAGGTCTTTCCAGAGGGCTCGAGGGCTATGGGTATTTACGAGGTTCATGGAGAACAGGAATGCTGAACAATGCCACTGTCTTCGAACATCCGGTGGCATGTTGTCTAAATCTTATACCCAGTTAAAGTACCGACTTTTGAACGTAAAGATGCGAGATCTAACATAGCCTGATCGTGAACTGCTTTTCATGTTGCGACGGTACCTTTTACTGAAGCACTCGTTTGCAGATTTCGAATTTGGCCCTGCGGGAGGCAGGAGTCAGTGAATGAAGCACGAGCAACCCCAAGGCAGCTTCTAACTTTACTGTTTGGCGGTTTCTTGAAACTAGGGAGTCTGTAGAATCATGATGATAATCAGGGTCAATACTGCGCTCCTCAGGTCTTTAGGACCCAGCACTTGATGAACATGTCGCTACATGAATCTTGCGAAGGGCCGAATGAAGCTAGTGCACACCCCGATCATCCCCCTTGTCTAGGCATGGGCATGACAGAGGCCTTTTCTTTCAAAGGCCTATCAGCGGAGGGTTGAGATATCAGGGGTCTGTAAACACTGCACTCAGGCGGTTGGCTGGAGGTATGTTGCCTCATGTGCGTACTCGTAGTTTCCTACATCAGCTTCCCCCCAACGTTGCCCATCAAAGAGTTGCCGCTCACTTGCAATCCCTAGACTTCGCAGAAACCCCGAGGGGTTAGACTGTAAAGTGATCCAGGAGGTAACTTGCAGTAGTGTTTTCAAGCCCATTCTGTAGGAGTGGTGGGGCTTGGTCACCATCGACCGTGAAATCCGACCTGCTGGCAGCTTGGACCCTTCGGATTCAGGGGTGTTCGAGTTTGGGCTCAGTGTTTCAGCGTTCAGGGTCCCCTAAACCCTAAACCTTTGGCTCAAGCCTGGCTCAATTTGAGACATTGATCGCTAGCGAAGACGATGGAGACATGCATGATCGCAGCCACGAAGTCTTTCAGCATCTCAGCAAGCACTGAACTCCCCGGCCGTACTGCGACTCCCCCCGGGGCTGCTTTGCACTTTCTTGCGACCCGGGAACCTTTCTATCCTTGGCTCTCCTGATCCCGCCCTTTGATGACTGAAGACTCCACCGTGCCCTTCGGCGTTCACGCACCCATGAATGTTGATGATGTGGATGAGAGGCCTGATGATGGCGCTGGCATTCTTCGCACACATGTCCC